GAGCGCGAGCCCGCCGCGCGCGGCCACCCCCGCCGGCGCGCGGACGTGGGCCCCCGGCGTCCACAGCCCTCGCCGCCGGGCGCCCGCTCGCGCCCCGCGGCCTGTGCCGGCTGGTCCCAGGCCCGGCACCCAAGGCCCCTTCGCGGCCCTGCCTCGCGGGTAGGAGGAAAGCGCCCGGGTCAGGCAGCGCGGCGGCGGGGGCCTGGTCAGGCCACCCGGCTCTGGGAGGCGGAGATCAAGTTCCAAATGCCCCTGCAAGCGAAACCCAGTAGGAACTCGTAGGGGAGCACTGTGGTGGGCGCGCCGGGATTGCAGAGAAGGGCGCAAAAGTCCCCACCCGTGCCTGCGCTCCTATAGACTCAGCAACTACAGGGGACGGGGAAAAGAGGCCGGAGAGGGACTGGCCTGCACGGTGGCTTAGTGGTCTTCCTACAGAATATCTGCAGAGCGTGGGGTCAACCGATCCCCCCTCCTCCCAGGCAGATGCAGGACTTAACACAGTCCCTGAAACTGCGGGGGGATGTGCCATTCTAGTGAGGCTGCGAGGCAGGGAGTGCCAGCCAGTGGTCACAGTCTAGCTCTGGAAAGATCACTCTGGCTGTGGTGAGGACAGTGGGGTGGGGTGATGGCCACGAAGTGGTGCCACTAGGGTCTCCTTTCAGAGAGGGCCTTCCTGCCCAGCCTCCAGCTGCCAGCTCCTACAGAGTCTGCCTCAGCTGCAGAAAACCACCTTACTGCAGGTCTTGGCCTTCCTGGTGGCTGAGGGCATGGGGTCCAAAGGCCTGGTCAGCTCTGCTAGTGCAGGACTCTGGTAGGAAACTGTCACTTCAGAGAAGCTCACACTTCATACTCCCTACCTCAACCAGATACCAGCTTCATCTGCTAGCACCAAAGCAGGTACTGGCCTAGGGCAAGCTGGGGTGGGCAGACGCCCTCCCTACTGTTTCAGCTGAAAGGGATTACAGAATTATTCACCCGCTGTCCAAGGACTGTTGGTGAAGTCCTGCTCTGTGTTTAACCCTTGCAGGGTTCTGGAGATCCTAAGCAACCAGCAGAGACACCAGCGGTCACTGCCAGGACTTGCCTCTGGCCACGAGAAGCCCCAGGAGGTGTCTAGCTGGATGGAGGCCTGTTCATATTTGCATTTTGCTGTATCCTTCTGGCTTTGAGTAGAACAGGTACCTTCTTGCAGGTCTTATATCCCTCTGGGGCACAAGCCTGAAAACTTCCTGCCTCCCCAGCACCTTTTAAATCCTTCCAGTACAAGACAAATACCACCCCATCTCATTTGATTTCCAAGATTTGGAATTAAGGTTCTTCCAAAAATACCCTGCATTTAGAATAGTGCAACCAGTATGTAAATTTATTCAAACATGCAAGTGTGTTTGGATTTTCTTGAAGAAAGTTATTTGGGGTTGGCTGGTCTTTTCCTGCCCAGTGTACGTCTCCCTGGGCCGCCTGGCTGTCTCGTGAAGGTCCTGAACCCTTTTCAGTGAGTCTAGCCAGCTAGACAGCCCCTAGTCCTGCACATATCTGGGGCCTTGCCCCATGGAGAGCAAGTGACCTGCTGTCCATCAACGCAAAGAAGAAAGAGGCCCTCACAGGACTTCGGAAGCCCCCAACAGGTAGATTCCAGGGCAAGGAGGCCCTCATCAACATGTGAGGCTCCCACGTGTGGGCAGTACTTTGGGGCCAACTCTTTGGGCACACATACAGCTTGGAAGTTCTAAGGGCCTGGGTAGCTTCCCCTGCACTGCAGGCGGAGAGAATAGGTGTTCTTGGACAGAAGGCCTCAGACAGGTGGGCAAGGGCTAGGAGGCAAAGCCCTATGCCTAGGGGTGTGCAGGACACTCAAGGACAGCAGCAGATTGGGCCAAACCTTGTTCTGGTCTCTCTGAGATAATTGTCACTTCTCTTAACGAAAATCCCATACTCAGGGGAGATGACTGCAGACAATGCAGGGCTACCTTGCCCAGGATTGTGGGGGTTCAGCTGTCCATCTGGGCTCCCATCTGCTGCTCTGCCTCACCCTTTTGGGCCAGGACCAACCTGGGCAAGGCATTTAGGACCAGGGGACCCCAGGCCTGCCTGCTGACCATGGGACCAGCACCAGAGCCCAGAACAAGGAGTCAAGCAGAATGGAGGTTCCCCTGGCCACCTCTGACTGCCTGTTATCCATCCATGGCCATTAACCACCCACTCCAGGCATACAACTACTGGATGCACAGTCCACTCTCCCCTCCACATTC